ATGAATTCAATTTTAATCCTCATGTCACGCCCTATGGGCACTTATGAACCACTCACAGAATAAATCAATTGTATCCTTACCTTACAGAGGAGGAAACCGAGGTTCAGAGAGGTTCACCGCCTTGCCCAAGCTCCAGCAGCTGGTAAGTTGGGCAGATGGAGGCTGAGAAAAGGAAGGGTTGGCTCAGGGTTCCGCAGCCTAGTGACCCCCTAGATTTCCTGCCTCCCCAACCAGGTCCCTGCCCACCAGACACAGGCAAGACTTCAGGACTCCACGCCTAATTCTGTAGATTCCAATTCTGTAGATTCCAACACAGAGTTCTGCGTCATTGGGTAGTTTGCAAAGAATTCCTTTGTTTTTTAGGGTGGTGAAGTTTCCTCCATGGGGAAGAAAGAGCTTCATCAAAGTGCCTCTGCATGGTCGGGCCTTGCTGAATGTGCCAGACTTTGGTGGAGACCAACTTCTCCAGGAAGGCACCCCAACTGCTCTCAGGGGTTACTGAGTAGGAGAGAAAGCACTCCTCTATCTGTCCTTCCTCTGTGGTCCCACTAGGTGGCACCTGGCATTGTGGTTGAGAGCACTTATTCTGGAACCAAATCACCCAGGTACAAATCCTACTTCTGACACCTGCTGGCAGCGTGACCTTGGGCAAGTTCCCGAACCTCTTCCTGCCTTGGTTTCCTCCCCATAAAATAAGAACATGAATAGTATCTCAGAATTGTTGTGGGAAATGAGTGAGTTAATACATGGCTGGGAGCAGTGCTTGGCACCAGACAAATTTGCTAATCGTGATTGTTTATTCCATCGCATAGTGATTGTCCTTTGCTTGTCTTTCCCCCCTACCTGACTGGAAGCTCCTTGAGAGCAGGGCAGTGACCGACCCAGGGTCAGGCTAGTGTCACTCGTACCCAGGAGAGGAACCCTGGTCTTGGAGTGGGGACTCAGTAAACGTGTGCTAAGTGGGAGATCACGTGACCAGAGCCGTACGCTGCGTGAAGCTTCTGGAGGAAGACACCTCTGCCTGACTTTCAAAGGACTTCCTTGGCAGCCGGCCAGGGTGGATGTCAGCGATGGCCGGGACCCGCCCGGCACACACAGTCGAGCTGTGGCAGAGCAGGCTTTGAATCCAGGTCTCCTGACTTCAGTCCTGGTCCCCATCACAGCACTAACCTGTCTGCAATTCCAGTAGCAGCTCCTGGGCTCACAGCAAGACCGTGCCTGCCTGCCCAACCCTGCCCCGCCATGTCTGCTCGCTTCAGATAAAGGAAGGTGAGTCCTTGGGAGCTCTGCAAGAATGTAAGAATGTAGAAATAGCAAAAGTCATTTAAGAGGACACAAAATATCCCACAAAGGGGCTGAGACCAACTATAAAGGGACTGAAATTAAATATTAATGGGGGCGAATGTGTCATTGGGCAAAGAGAAGAAAGACCCTGAGGGAGAGACACAGCGCCCATCTGGGATGCTGAGAGAAGGCTGGCGTGGCGAAGCAGCGAGATGTTCTTGGCAACAGGAGCTACACAAACTCTCATGATGACTCCAACTCTTGAGGTCTTTCCAGGGGTCGGCCTCCCCCAGATGGGACCTCACAGCCTTTTAAACACCAGGATACACAGAGTTCTCTTCCTGAAGCTCATGCCATCCTGCAGCAATGCACCCTGCCCCGCTCCCCCATCTGCATTTAGAATGGGCTGAGAGCTGGGGTCCCCAAGGATCTGGAGAGCTCAACCAGGCGCCTGGACATCCAGGTCACTCGAGACACACCAGCATTCTAGAAACTCATAGGCGGCCATCAAAGATCAGGTGACTGTTCCCTCCCCACTGCAGGTCCGCCCAGCCAAAGATTCCAGAGACTCCCTCCCCCCCAACTTCTCATAGTGTTTTAAATTTTCAGAGAGATCTTCTAGGGGTTTGGAATTCTGCGAAATCCTTACAGTGCTTCAGGATTTCCAAGAGCACCCCCCAATTCTAATGTTTTAAGGTAGCAGAGACCTTCTTTTACATTTGGTAGCTCTTAAGAACTACTACTATGTTTCAGTGGGCCAGAGAACTGTCCCCGAGTTCCAGCAACCTGCATTTGGGCCTGTAGCTTCCAGGGTCCCAGAAGTGCCCTCCTGAGACTGCAGTTCTTGGTAAGAACCAGATGGATTTCAAGAGTCTCGCTACATTACTGGGGCGCTATGGAATTCCCCCAGGGTTGAGGGATCCTAAAAGTGGTAGTTCTAGAGTGAGGATGCTGATTGAGAGATGGACACATGGCGGGTGCGGGTAGCGGAGGCCAACCCCCTTGAATCCTGTGTCTACGTCTGGAAAAAGATATGGGGTTTTTGCTGAGCTGCAGCATGAGCTGGAACTAGGAAACTTGGAAAATCGTGGCTGGCTCCAGCGGGAGTCGTCCAAACACAAGTGAACCAGCACCGGCCAGGGTCCCCCTGGGTGGTCCCCATCCATGCTCCCAAGGAGGCTACGGAAAGCTCTCACGCTCAGTGCCAGGGGCCTCCCCGCCCCAGGCTGAAGACCTCCCAGCAAGCAGGGCCAGTGAGATAAGGCTTCTGGGGGGTGCGGAGGAGCCCAAGCACGAACCTGCAGAGCCACCCAAGCTGACGTGGCATCAAAATCACCAATCTTGGAAAAAAGGCCTTTATGGCATTAAGGAGGCTCCCCCTCTCCCTTCAGGTCTCTGCACAAACGTCACCTCCAGGAGGCCTTTCCAGAACCCCCTGTGGAGGACTGCACCCCCGCCCTGGCAGAGCGCCACCCTCCTGCTCGGTCTTAATCCACAACATTTATCACCACCTGACATGCGACACATGTTGCCCGAAGGTGAAGATTCTTATGCTTCGTTCAGTGCAAGTGCAAAGTAGGTTCTCAGTAAATATTTGCTGCATAATTATTTTTTGAACCCGTATTGTCAATTGCATCAAAGCGTCACATTGCCTAAAAGTTGCTTTTGGCTAAATTGACTGCAACCGGGAAAGCCACATGCTGTACTCTTTCCGTGTGTCGGGGAATTTAATCCACACAACAGTTTTGTAAGGGGCACTATTACTGTGCCCACTCTGGACGTGAGATGAGTTGGGCCCAGAGCAGTTAAGTCACTTTGCCAGGATCACTCATGGATAAGTGAGGATGCCAGGATTTGACCTGGGGAGCTCAGTCTGTGGGCTAAACCACAGCCCGCTCTGCCTGGCCCAGCGGCCTGTGGTGTCTGGCTGTCACCCTATGTCCCCTGGCTCTGCCTCCACAGACCCTGGCCTTCCAGGAAGCTGCCACTGTCCAACACCCTCACGCCCAGTCACAAGTCTTACCTCTTGATTCCTGTCCATGGGGGGCACTAACCTGGTCTGACCCTGCCAGTCCCAGCTTCAGGGACCAGCCCCGCTCAGACTCAGGAGTCAGGGGCTTGCAGTGGAGGAGGCCCAGAGAGGCCCAGCAGTCTGTCCCAAGCCACACAGCACACTCAAGTAGCCTGGAGGCACCTCGCTTTTATTTTGGGGTCCTCACTGCCCTGGGGAAAAGGGGACACATTCCCATAGCTACGTTCCAGAATGATGGGTAGGAGAGCACCAAGTCTTTCTTTGCTTGGTCTTGCACTGGGGAGTGTGACGGGGGACAGAGGTCCCGATTTCCTCAGGCCAGGTCCTCTGAGCACAATGGTCCTCTGGGCACTGTTCCAGATGATGGCTATGGCCTCCCTCCCAGCATTCCCCAGGGTCCTTGGCGTTCCCCAGCTTCTCCCTGGCGGGGCCTCTGGCCTCAGCCTGCTCCTCCCTCGGGGCTCCCCAAGCCTGTGGCTGAGGCCGGCCTGCGTGGGCCTTGCCTGGGCCCAGGGTTCAGGCCTTGGGGCACGCCCAGCCTGAGGCCTGGCTCAGGTATTGCTGGCTGAGCCATCTCATCCCCTCTCTGTGCTCTCTGTCCCTGCCTCCAGCTCACCCCTGCCAGTCAGGCTACCTCCCGCAAGCGGCCCTGTGATCTATGTACCAATCTAGGCTGGCGACACCTTAAGAACCTTCTGTGGCTGCCTTTTGCCTTTGGCAGAAGCACAAACTCTGGATGTAGCTAAAAGGCCCTGTACTTCCTGGCCCGGACAGCTCTGGAAACTCAGGGGTCTCCAAGCCTTTGTCTCCACCACCCCCCACCCCCTTTCCCTGGACCGAATGCTACCCACCCTCCAAGGCTTAATCACAGCTTCCCTGGCAAAGTTCTCTGACCCCCTCCATGATCACTGAATGGATGACCCTCCTCTGTGCCTCTGAGCTTCCCCAGCAAGGCCCGTGTGAGGTCATAAACGTCTGTCCCCCACCAGATTGTGTGCACCCCGGGCAAAGCCACCTTGGCCCCTTATTTGCCACCTTACAGCTTGATGTGCAGTTGATGCCAGTGGTGTTTGTTGAATGAATGAAGGAAGGTAGGAAAGAAGTGGGTCTCATTTTCCCTAACTATGAGTGGGAGGGTTAGGTTAGCCTCATGGCTCCTTCTCCCACCCCCAGTTCCTCACGTCACGCCTGGACTTCTCCATCGTCGTAGACCCGCTGCATCCTACGGGCACTTATGCCGGGAATCACAATGTTCCTCACACCTTGACCTTCACTAGAATGTAACAGGACAGGGAGCCATGTCCACTATTTAACTGACTGAAGCCCAGAAAATGGTCCATGAGAAGCCAGGCCTCCGGAGCCCCACCAGCACCAGGACACACGTGACACAGAGTGAGTGAGCCCTCGACCTCCCATCTGCCCAGCCCGAGGCCAGGTGGGTTTTCTTCACCCTCCTTCATGGAGACACTGACCACTCGACTTCCCTACGTCCCCCCAGGGGAACATAGCAGTTGCTCAATCAAAAAAAACTTGTGCAACCCATGAAAGGAGATGGGAGTCTGGGACATTACAGACCAGTGGGACACACACCTGTGCCATCCTAGCCCCTCCTCTGTTGGATTCCCCCAGGGGGAAGCGACTGACTACCCCAGAGGACAGAACCAATCAGACCTAGAGCTGGAGCCTCTGTTTATTCAGGTATTTCATCACCACTGCTGGGTTTCTCCTGAATGCAGTCTCGCGTCTCGTGGTCTGGGGCGGCACCCTCCCCTTGCTCCCCCCAAAGCTGCTACCCCACGCAGTAGATGGGGAGACAGCGCGCAAGGCGCAGAGCCCAGTCTGAGGTCACGCGGCAGTCTTCTGGGTCTCCACTCTGCCTTCAGCGGGGAGGGAGGGCCCGGCCGGGGCTCCGTGCACCCTCGCTGTGGGGCGGCTGGCTCCGGCCACGTCGCAGGGAACTGCCAATCTGCTCTCTGAGGGCCTCCAGCCTTTGGGCCAGGTTTTGGACCCCAGCCCTACCTAAGAGCAGTGAGACTTGAGGCCTGCCTTTCCTTGGATCTTCCCCACCCAGGTCTATCTGGGTCCCAACATCCTCTGGAGAAGCCTTGGGGGGTAGGTACCCTCCACCCTTGCCCCACCGCCACCATGGGCCCCACCACACATCTGGGCATGCTGGTGGTCCTAAAAAAAGAAGTCCAAGTTTGGGAACTAGGAAGATTTTAGAAATCACCTCTCAACACCTGCCCCATTTCAGAGGTGGGAAGACTAAGGCCTGGAGAAGATGGGTTCTGGCTCAAGATCACAGAGAACACCAGGGGGCCCTTCCCTCTCTCCCTTCTTCACCTGTCAGCACTGGTGACGTGTTCGGAGGCCCCGTGGGCAGCGGGGGTGCGGAGGGTACCACCTCCTCCTCGGTCAGCATCTCTGCCAGGACTCGGATCTGAGTCCAGTCGCTGTGGCTCCTGGGCCAGGGTGAGTTGGCGGTGGGAAGTCAGTCTTTGAGTTCCCAGGTCTTCTCCTCCCCCAGCCCAGTGCCCCAGGGCTCGGCCCACCTCTCTCTTGGGCACTTGGCAGAGCCAGGGCTGCACGGGGGTGCCCAGGCTGGGGGCCGGGCAGACAGGGGCCTGCTGCCCAGGGCCTCAGGGCCTAACACCTGCAGGAAAAACCAGAGCCCACACTGGTAACCCCAGCCCTGCCTCTCTGTGTCCCACTTCCCTGGTGCTGGCCGTAAGCCCGGCCGTGCCTGCCCCACAGGGTGCCAAGGATGTCAGGTGGGCATAAAGGAGTGCGGTCGTGGTCGCTTTCTTCTGTGGGCAGCAGGTGGTTCTCGTAATGTCCTCTCCTGAGACTAGGCGAGCCCTGAGGGCAGGAACCATGTCTGGCCCAGTTCTGAGTCCTCGGAGCCCAGACCAGAGGCGGGCACAGAGCACGGAGCTCAGGGGAGAGTTACTGGGGGAGTGAGGGAATATATAAAGGGGTAAATATGTAAATGAATGAATGAATAAGCGAATGACAGAGTAAGTTCCTGAAAGAAGGCAGCGTGGGGAGGAGGGAGGGCGAGGCAAGTAGCTATTCCAAACCCCAGGCAGAGGAGCCCTCAGCCGGCCATTCACTCCCCAGGATCCAGCCTGGAGCCCTGGAATCCCCCGGCCCGGGAGCCCCCTGGATTACTGACTCCTAGACCGAGGTCTCCAGTTCTCCCGCCTTCCCGCACCCCCAGCTGGGCCTTTGCTACCTGCTGCAGGTGGCGCTCCCTCCATGGGCAGGCCCAGTGGGCCAGGGGCGCTCGGCACAGCGGGCAGAGGTGGCGCCAGGGGCAGGAGCAGAGGGGTGGCAGTGCCTGCAAGAGGGCAAGTCAGAGGCTCCATGATGTCCCCGCCTGTCACTCCTCCAGGTTGGGCAGTGAGACTCACATGGCAGGAGGGAGCTGGTACCATCAAGCAGGGACACGGTGGGGCTGGCCCAGGGCCCGGCTGATGGCGGTGGCAGGCAGAGAGGCGCCTGGAAGGAACAGCGGGGTCTGTGCCTGCAGCCCCCAACCCTACCACCAGGCTGGCCTCCGGGTCCCCCTTCTCAACAAAGCCTCCTGGAGCCCTCACCGGTGCCAGGCCCTGTGCTCGAGGCTTTCCATACCAACCCATTCTTCCCAATCTTCAACACAAGCCTGTAGGGTAGGCACAGCTATGATCCCCATTTTACAGAAGAGAAAACCCAGGCAGGAGAGGTTCAATGACTTGCCCAAGGTGACGCGGCTAGTAGGTGGCAGAGCTGGAAATGGAACCCAGGTGGTCTGGACCCAGAGGTCAGACCCCTGTCCCCAGGCCTGGCTCCAGGCTGGTGGCCATGCTCACCTCTCTAGCTCATGGACCTGCTGGGCCAGGACACGCTGCTCGTTCCGGGCCAGGTCTCGGCTACTCTGCAGCTGGCTCTTTTCTTTCCTGGGGGAGAGCAGGTGGCAGGGAGGGGACAGGAGGTGGGGCTGGTGGGGATCTCCGTCAGCCTGTCCTCATTGCAGCATAGCACCAGCCCCAGGAGGCAGGTGGGGACAGAGTGGAGCCAAGGACCAGAGCTGGGAGGCAGCTTGGCAGAAGCAGCCTAGCAGGGAGGGGTGGGGGACAGAGTCCCCCTGGCTGTGGGCTGGGACCTACCTGAGCCTCTCATTCTCCAGCATGAACTCCTGTAGCATTCCGTAGAGGTTCCGCTGGGCCCAGGCCAGCTGGGTGCCACCGAGCCCTGAGGCTGCCGGGAAGCAGGAGGTGGCTGGATCCACAGAAGCCCCAGGCCCTATCCCCATCCTGCTCCTCCCCCAAAGAGCTCATACCTTTGCGTTCCATTTGGTCCAGCTGGAACTGCAGGCGATGGTTCTCCTCCTGGAGCTGCAGCATGTCAGTCTCCAAATGCTGGGGCTGCTTTGCCACAGGGGACTGCAGAGAAAGAGACCCAGAACTGCCCATTATGGTTGTAGTTGTGCACTGCACAGGGCTTCCAGGTGTGGAAAGTGAGTGAAGCCTAAAATCAAGCTTCACTTGTCAGCCTTGCCTTTTTTTTTTTTTATTTTTATTTTTTTTTGAGACAGAGTCTCACTGTGTTGCCCAGGCTAGAGTGCCGTGGCATCATCCTAGCTCACAGCAACCTCAAACTCCTGGGCTCAAGCGATCCTCCTGCCTCAGCCTCCCGAGTAGCTGGGACTACAGGCATGCGCCACTATGCCCAGCTAATTTTTTCTATGTATTTTTAGTTGTCCAATTAATTTCTTTCTATTTTTAGTAGAGACGGGGTCTCGCTCTTGCTTAGGCTGGTCTTGAACTCCTGAGCTCAAACAATCTGCCCGCCTCGGCCTCCCAGAGAGCTAGAATTACAGGCGTGAGCCACTGTGCCCGGCCTCAGCCTTGCCTTTTGGCACAAGGCTGCATCTACCTGGAAGGGGCACCTTGTCCTGACTGCACCATCCTGAAGGGCCCCACTCTGAGCTGGGCTCAGCTCTAAGTCCAAGTCCAAACTCAGTTCTGCCCAAACCTTGGCCCAGGTTCTGAATGCAAACGAGACCCTGTATCAGATGCCCAACTCAGCTCACAACTTAGCCACGATACCAGCTGGGACCCTGGCTATAGCCCGACTGTATCCCAGCTTAGACTCCAACCCAACTCCTGCTCTAACCTTGACCAGGACTCCGGCTGGGGCCCTGACCCCCCCCTACCCAACCATGACACCATTTCCAGGATTCCAACCCTAATCCCAACTCTGACCCAGTCCCAGACTTTGATCATGATGTCGACTTGGGTTCCAGCCATTGCCTGATCCCCCACTATCTCCCCTGCCTGTCCCTCTCCTGAGTCTCCCTCCTGTCACCTTGGGGGCCTGCGGCCGGGTGGTGACTCGCTGAGCTCGGCTTGCGTATCGCAGGGTGCTGAGAGTCTCAGGAAGACACTGGGCTGAGGGGGACACGCAGGCCACCTGGGGAGGACTCCCCCTGAGTGCTGCTCTCTAGGGGCCCCTCTTTAGGACCCAGCCTTCCCACCACACCCCCGTTGGGTACCATGAGAGTGACCCCACGCCCCCCCAGGGAGTCTGCCAGCAACTTGGTCAGCTTGCTGTCCCTGAAAGGGATGTGGCTCTGCTTCCGCTGTGGGTCCAGCAGCAGGGAGATGCAGTGACCTGGATAGGGAGAGCAAGGCCCAGAAAGGTTACATCGCTTGCCCAAGACCACCCAGCTGGGACACTGCACAGCTGGGATCTCCATCCAGGCCTGTGTGACTCTAAAAACCCATCTTTCCACGTGATCTCATTACTCAGATTGGTCTCCACCACACACTGGGGCTCCCTAAGGGCAGAGATGGCCCTGCCACCCCTGATCCCCAAAAGGGCCTGGCGTGCAGCACGGGCTCAGGAAATTTCCAACGAATGGACTGAATGAAAAGGAGTTTTGTGAGCATCTCCCAAGCACGCTGCCAGGGAACGTGAGGCCCCAGCCCTCAAGGATCTCAAAGTCCAATAACCTGGGGTGGGGGAGAGGAGACAGGTCCCCTAAATGGGTATCAGTCTTCCCAACAGCACAAGGGACGGGTCGAATGTTTCTGAGTTGAGTGTTACTACCTCCCAAATTAGAATGTAACTTTACAGACCCTTAGAGTTTACAGATTCATAGTCCATGTTCTGAGAAGGCAGAGTCAACAACAGAGCTGGGGCCTCTGGCTCTGGGATCACAGCTCTTTCACCGCGTCTACGCCCTACGACTCCTCTGGTATCCCCCGCTGTGGACAGCTGTGGGCCCAGCGCTGGGGAGGGACTCAAGAATCAGAGCACCTGGCCCCCAGGTCTCACCCAGGGCCAGCAGGCTGCGGTTGATGCTGTTGGCCTCAAGCATCAGCTCTCCACGGGATCCTGTGGCTGCCACCTTTTCACTGCCGGCCAGGTCTACAAAGCACAGCTTCCCACCGATGGGGGGCTCCCCGGGGCCCACAGGGGGCATCTGCTGGGCCTGGGGGATCAGCGCTTCATGGGGACTTGGGAGGGACGGTCCCCATCAAAGTCACAAGGTCACAAGGCTAAGGGTTTCCACCATTACTCCCCATGTACGCTCAAGTCGGTTTATACGTCCAGACGCAGACCCTTGCTGTGCGGCTACCCTTGCTGGGTGGCCCAGGGCCAGCTCCTTCTCCAGGCCGGGGCACTCACACTTTGGCAGCCGATGTAGAGGGTGAGCAGGGCATGGCTCCGGCTGGAGGCCTGGTTCAGGGTGTGAGCCGAGCTCCTTCGACGGCTAAGCCCTGGAAGGGGAAAACATCAGGAGCGGGACCCGGTTGGAGAACAGGTTATTACCAGGGAAGAAAAAGGAGCAAAGGAATCCGGACGGCAGAGGGGACAGCCTGTGCAAAGGCAGAGGGACAGGACAGCGCGCGCTGGGTCAGGGAATGATGGAATGTTGGCGCTGGCTCTAGCACAGATAGGTGAAGGGGGATAGAGACAATCGAGCAGAAGAATGACAGATTGGCATTTTGTAAGCAGTCTCCTATTGCTACTGCTGTGTGCAGGGAGGGGGAGAAACTGAGGCAGAGAGATCAGCTGAGAGGTGTGGCACAGCATCCCAGGTGCCTGCCAGAGGAGGGGTGCCCAATAAATATTTGATGAAAAAATGAATGAGACTGGAAAGGAAGGGTCTTACAGGCTAGGCTAAGAGGTCCCACCTTCATCCCTGGGGCTCTGCAAGGGTGGAGGGTCTGGAGGCGCAGAGGGATGTGTTGGGCGGCGTGGAGGAGGAGGGGTTGGCAAGGGAGAGCTGTGAGGTGCAGAGACCTCTCTAAGGAGCCAGAATGAGGCCCAGCTGAGGCAGAGGCCTAGGCTGGAGAGGAGTCTGCCAGGCAGAGTCAACAGGCACTGGGCAGAGGTGGGGGCAGGGGACATCCTTGGGCTGTGTCTCTGAATTGCCGGTTTGCTGGTCCTTTCCCCCAACAAGAGTCACTTCTGAAGCCACAGCTGCGGCCGCCCGCGCCCAGGCTCGGCGGAGCAGCACGCACCCAGCTGCAGGAGTTCCAGCAGGGCCTCCAGGCTCCCGAGCTCCACCACCCGCAGCTGCGCCACATGGAAGCCCCGGGTCTTGTTCCAGCGAACAGCGAGGGGCCGGGGAGACCCCAGGCTCAGCAAGTCGCGAACCTGGGAGGTGAGGGAGGAGGGTGAGGGAAGGGACTCTGTGTCTATGTCCCACCCACTCGCAGCCCTTCCTGACAACAGTCCCCAACTGCTTGGAAAGAAACTGCTCTGTTGCCCTGCCTCTGTCCTTCGATTCTTCTCATTCCCTTACCTGCTCATTGTAGATCTCCAGATAGGAGGCGCGCAGGGTGACAGGGGCACCCAGGTGCTGCACGCGGTCGAACAGCCAGGCGAACGTCCTCTGCATGATGCCAGCCAGGCCGGGGGGTACGGGCGCCCCCTCCCCCTGGGGGCAAAGCCAGCTGAGCCTGAGACTGGGTCATCTCCATCAGCACCACAGTAATGACTACCCTTCGTAGAGCCGGAACCGAACCATGTTCTCATATAACAGCTCATTTATTAATAATTCTCAAGCAGGTACCATCACCTCCATTTTACAGATGAAGAAACTGAGAGCTGGTAAGTAAAGGCACCAACACTTCAACCCAAATGCTCCAAATGGGGAGCATCTTCTCCTCTCCGGTCCTCAGTTTCCTTGTCTGCAAATCAGTGGAGCGGGCTGCCTGGTCCCAGACCCTTCCCTCTGGGAGCCGGCGCTTCCAGCCCGCCGAGCCCCGACCCGCGGGGGCTTCGCCGGCGCTGGGCCCACCTGGGGCGGAGGTCCCGTCAGGGTGTAGGTCTTGCCGGAGCCGGTCTGGCCGAAGGTGAAGACGGTGCAGGAGAAGCTGCGGGCGGCAGGGGCGTGGCTGGACCCAGGCGGCGCCGCGGGTTGGGCTGGGCTGGGGGGTTAGGGAGCTGGAGGGCTGCGGGGACGTGGGACTAGCGGGACGGGACGTGGTTCGGGGCAGGGCCGGGAGAGCCCGGCGGCGCCTCTTACCCTCGCAGCGCCAGCTCGCCCAGGCGCCGCACGCCGCACGCCCGGAACACGTCCTCCTGAGTGCGCGCCCCGTCCAGCACCGCCCCGAAGCGGAACGCCACCTCGGGGCCCCCGCCCGGCGGGCTCACCTGCGGAAGGCGCGACGGAGGGGCGGGCACTCTGGGGCAGGGCGGGGCACCCTGGATGGGGCGGGCACTCTGGGGGGAGGGCGGGGCACCCTGGATGGGGCGGGCACTCTGGGGCAGGGCGGGGCACCCTGGATGGGGCGGGCACTCTGGGGGGAGGGCGGGGCCTGGGGCAAAGTTATCTGGGGTAAGGGACCCAGCGTCCCCAGGGTAGTTTTTCGCCCGGGGTTGGGAGGAAGAGAGGGGCTCCTCACCTGCAGAGTCCGGCTCCCTGAGCAGTGCAGCACGCTCTGCTCCCCTCGACGCAGCTCGGCCGCACTCATGGGCCGCACCCTGGGGTCCGACAGGAGGGCAGATGGGTACATCCTTATGTGTTCATTTGTCCCTGCCTTGCCCGGGTGCCTCCTACCTAGTCTGTACCCACCTGAGCACTACTTGGATGGGCGTTTCCGGCCTCTCTGGTCCCTGCTCCAGGCTCCGCGCGGGGTCCCTGTGGCAGCAGCGTGAGTTACCTTCCCTGCCCGCAGCACTGTCCGCTGTGCGGGGCGTTCAGGACCCCGAACCTCTCTGAAGCTCTGCTTACCCGTCGGGTGCACCTCGTTCCTCCATGTCCTGCTCTGCACACGCAGTTAGCTCCGCCCCAGTCTCCTTTCTGTCCCTCCCCAGTACCCTCCTCTTCTCCACAACACTGGGACTGTCTAGACACATCTTCCACTCCCACCCCCATCCCCCGTCCCAAGCAGCCATCCATCCGGAAAGGCGCTGGCCTACCCAGGGCCAGCTAGTTAAAGATTTACCCACCCCCACTGCGGCGGTGGAGAAAGTCTCTCCCAAGCTAGGGGACCCGTAGCTAGGGGGGTTCTGCAGTCTGAGGGTCCCTTGTTCTTGGCCAGTCCCATCAGGAGGGACCCACGGACCACCCAGGCCAGCCTCCTTTGTGCACTGATGAGGATACCTAAGCAGGGATGGGAAGGACTCAGCCGAGACCACAGAGGTAGCCTATGCAGAGCATGGACTGGGCTCTTCCTACTCTCTCCACATGCCCCCCAACCCCCTCCAGTTTCATAGTCACCCCCCCACCCCAACAGCTGGGGTGTCTTCTCAGCTCAGGGCCCAGGGAGAGGAGGGGCCTCGACACCAGGGAGGGGCCAGGTCTCAGTCAGCTCTGGGGAGGACCTGGCTGGATTGAGTGTCTGAGCTGAGAACCGGTTTCCAAGCATCTGGTTAAACATTGGGCACCTGCCTCTCCAATGCCAAGGTTAATAGAAGGCCGGCGGGGTTGTTTAACCCTCTCCTGGTCTGGTGTCTGAGAGCAGCAGAGATGGCTGTGCATGCACTGGGATGGAGCAATCACTCATTCTTTGCCAGTCTCCTTGCTGGGCACCAGGGCAGAGGAATCACATGCAGACCTGCCCCTTAGCAGCTCACAGTCTGTCTGGAGAGTTGGAGAAGTACAGTCCAATGTGTAGGGTCTTTGGGGAGAGTTCAGAGTGCTGTAGGAGCCGGGGGGCAGGGAAGCGAAGGTGGTAGGTAAGGGTGTACCAGGCAGAGGAAACATGCTTCAGGAAGGCTGGGGGAGAGGGGGAGATGTGTGTGGCATGGAGAGGTGGTTTGAGGCTGGACCCAGCTCACAGAGGGCATATGAAAAAGTCTGGACTCCTCAGAGAGCCGGGAAGCCGCTGAAGAGTTACAAACAGGGACGTAACATCGCCAGATTGGCATTGTCATTATTGTTGCTATTCTGGCTATCTCTATATGTTCTCTGAATATTTTTGCAAACTCTCCCCCAAACACGCATCAGGGCAAAAGCCCTAAAAATCACCCCTTCTCAATGTAACACACTCTATACCACCACAAATGACAGCCAACTATCAAAGCCACCCTACTGGGGAATGGGCTATCTTGGGTGGCAGTGAGCTCCCTAGGCACTGGAGGTATGCAAGAAAGAGCCTATTGACCTTTTGGTTACAGAACTTTCTAGCTAGATCTACAGGGAGAGTTCTGCAGAGCAAAGAACCACTGGCCCCAGCGCTGCCACTATCTTGCCACAGAGCCTTGGCCTTTCTTAACCTGGTTCCTTGCTGTAAAAAGGGATTAGTGGTCCCTCTCCTATTTTCCATGGTTGTTCTGAGACTTCAATGAGACAGTGTAACTGAAAGTGATTCGTAAGTCATAAAGAACTACCTAAAAGCAAAACTAAAAATTCCTAGATGATCTCTAAGATCCTTTTCAACTCTTAAGTTCCTTAATCTGTTATATTTTTTGAACCCTTGAAGTGGATAGGACACCAGTTACCATCCCTGCTTTTCAAATTAAAAAACTGAGGGGGGCCGGGCGCAGTGGCTCACGCCTGTAATCCTAGCTCTCTGGGAGGCCGAGGCGGGCGGATTGTTTGAGCTCAGGAGTTCGAAACCAGCCTGAG